CATCCCCATGTGCCTTAAAATCATTTATTTGGGGGGGGGGAGAAGGGGGGTCAAAGTCAGGCTTACCTGTTCCTTGGAAATGGAAGGCAACGAAGGTCTCCTGGACGTTTTCCAGCTGCCATAATAAGCGGCAGAAGTCTCCCCCAAGGACACGCAACTGGATCGCCTCTTGGGTCGGATCCCAGGAACTCTGTGCTCGGCGCTGCCGGCCGACTTGGGATGCGAAGCCTGGAGGTGGTGGTGGTGCTGCTGTAACCCCCGACCCGAAGAGGAGCGAGAAGAGAAAAGGCAGCGCTCTCCTCCCAGCAGCGCCCACAAGCATCCCGCCGTCCCGGCGAAGCAGGAGAGCAGCGGCCTAAGGGGCGGAGGCAGAGACCCCAGGCTGGCGAGCGAGACCAGCCACACGAGGCCGGCGAACACCAGGACCAGGAGGCTGCGGCGGAGTCTGAGGCTGCGCTGCCAAAGGGTCAGGCCGGCCACGGCGCCCAGGGTGGCCAGCAACCGTCCCGCCAGCATCTGCAGTTCGGCCGGTGGCGGGCGGGGGACGCCTTCCTCCGCCTCGGCCTGGCGGGACAGCAGGAGCCACTGCAGCGCCACCGAGTCTCCCGCGTAGCAGCAAAGCGGCAGCGCCAGAAGCCACCAGGGGCCGCCGGGCTCCTCGCGGGCCAGGTAGCAGGTGAGGAAGAAGAAGGCACAGGCGAGACTGAAGAGGGGGCTCAGGCACCGGCCCAGCCCCAGCGGCGCCAACAGCCCGCTTGCTTCGGGGCTGCCGGCAGCTGCGCCCGCTTTCTTTTCGCGCTCTCCCCACAGCAAGACGCACGGCAGGAGCGCCAAGGGAGCCGCCGCCGCCGCCGCCAGACCCAAGAGCAGAGCCCGGCGAGGAGCGGCTGGGAGAGGCGCCCGAAGGTTCGGCAGGGGGCCGCTCGGGGCCAGAGGAGCCGCGCATCCCTTCGCGTAGCCGTTCCGCAGATCGGGCTCCGCAGAGCCGCGAGCCGGAGGCTGCTGGCTTAGAAGTTTGTTGAGCCCGCGGCGGAGAGAAGCGGAGGCGGCGGCTTCTTTCTCGTCCTTCATGGTGGTCGGGCGGGAAAGGCTGGAGAAGGAGGAGAAGGGGAGGGGAAGGCGGCGGAGGAGAAGAAGTAGAAGTAGAAGTAGAAGTAGAAGAAGAAGAAGAAGAAGAAGAAGAAGAAGAAGAAGAAGAAGAAGAAGAAGAAGAAGAAGAAGAAGAAGAAGAAGAAGAAGAAGAAGAAGAAGAAGAAGAAGAAGAAGAAGAAGAAGAAGAAGAAGAAGAAGA